CTCCCGCCCACGAGCCTCGCACCCACGCCCTCTCGCACTCCCTCCCAGAGCCTGCACCCCTCGACCCATCCTGCACCCCCACCCTGTGCCCCAGCCCGGAGCCTGCACCCAGCACCCAAACTCCATCCCAGAGCCCGCACCCCACTCATCCCACAGCCCAATCTCTCAACCGTCCTTCACCCCAATCCCCTACCCCAACCCAGAGCCTGCACCCCAGACCTCCTCCCCCCCACCCAAACTCCCTCATAGAGCCTTAGGTAGGTGGGGGGCACAGTTCTGGGGGAGGGGGCAAGCTCTGAGCGTTCTGGGCACCACCAAAATTTCTACAAACCTGCCGCCCCTGATACTTGGGGGGGCGGTGAGGAAGCAAGCGGAGAGTCGGTGGATGGAGGGGGGCATCCATTTTCAGTATTTTAATTTTTGGTACTGCAATGACTGACTGCTGTGTGCATTAATATAGTGACCCCCTGGGTCTTTGAATGAGGCTTTATACATGGGCGGGGTGGGGTGGGGTGAGGGATGAAATTAAATGAATAATTTTATTTCCTGCGACTACGCTTGTGTTCATGAATTCCCCTGCACATCTATGTAAGGGTAAATGTGGATTCCTTGGCTGAGTAGATGGGCTGGTACTACTGATAGACACTTTGTGAATACCCTCTCAGTGCCAATAAAATTCCAACACTCTCATTTGGTAATGACTCTCCAGAGCCAGAAAATGTAGGTGCTTTCTGTGAGGAGGGGAGTATATTGACACATGAAAATAAGCATCCTGTAAGTTGAGGGCAATGAACCAATCCATGGGATCTACAGCAGGGATAACAAGAAATGAAAGTTACCATATGGAATTTGGCACATTGAATGTATTAATTGAGATTCCTGAGATCTAGAATCAGGCACAAACTTCCTTTCTTTTTCAGTATGAGGAAATAAAGAGAATAGAAGCATCTCCCAATATATTCCTGAAGCACTAACTCTATTGCCCCTAACTTAATTAGTGCTGTACTCTCACACTCACGAAGGGTCTAGAAAGAGAGGCAGACTGCTGCACAGATTTCAGGATGCTTGCAAAGATGATTTAGAATCTTTGGAATCTCTGTTGATGATTTGGAAAGAAGGGCAGAATGCTGCTGTGGTTGGCAGAGTCCGCTTGTAAATAGAGCGAGGCACTGCGAGGTGTACTGGATCAAGCTTTGTGATGACTGGCATCAGAGGAGGAAAGAATATGCTGCTTGGATTCAGAGCATTGCTAGTGCTAGTCAATGGGTGTGCCCTACCTGTGGACTGTCACTTGTGCATCGGACCCAACAGCCATCAAAGAAGTCATTGGTGCATATAGCATGATCAGTAAAGAGTGACGGTGCCACCGAATTAGTTCATCTATCTCCTGGAACAAAACTCTCATGAGAGTGGCCCTGAAAAGGGACTAGAATGGTGGGATGAAGGGATTAAAAATGAATGACATAACCATCATTGATGACCAGGACCCATTGATCTGTGATGACCATCACCCAAGGCTCCTGGAAATCAGAAGGATGGAAACCAAATGCTGGAGTAAAAGGGTAAAGATCCTTGTAGACTAGCCCAAGATCCTTAACCAATGCATCAAATGTGTTGTTTGATGTGCCTGACTCAGCTGATCAGTTATAGAAGAAGAAAGTGGAACTAATTTCTTTTTCTGATATCTGTCTCCTTCTGAGTTGCTCAGAAGGCCTCTGGTGAGAAGGAGGAGAAGATGATTCTACATGTTTCTACATCTAGAGACTGAAGACTGAGGATGAAACTGTTTCTTTTTAAACATAGTAGTATATAAACCAAGTGATCTGAATGTGGATCTCGAGTCTTGTAATGAATGCAGAGACTCAAACTCAAATAACTGAGCCTGGGAGTCATCTGACCCCATCTTGGCTCAGGGATAGGTTGCTGCCTCATGCTAGAGGGCTAAGTCACTGCAGGCTCTGTTGGAAGGGTAAGTCAGTGAAGCTGGATTGTTCCTGCATGCCTGAACGGTTACTCACCAGCGCTCCAGTACTACTAAATAAGGTAGATGATCTTCTTCCCTAAAGATCTCCTTGCCAAAGACATAGAGAAGGTGTCTGCACTAGCCTTCTGTTACTGTGTGGCACCACTGCCCAGGTCCTGCTTTTTTCTCTCACTGGCTGCAAGGGCTCCTCAGAAGACCACCTCTGTACTCCTGAGTCCTGACCCCAGAGACAGGGCTCAGTACCAGGAAAAGAACAGAGTCAGAGCCACAAGCTTTCAGGTGTCACTCACCAACAGAAGTTGGTTCAATAAAAAGTATTACCTCACCCACCCAGTCTTTCTAATATACTGGGACCAACACAGCTACAACAACTCTGTATAAAGTCAGAGTCACTCAGTCCTCAGGCAGCAAGGATCCCTGACTGCTTTGATGGATTTTTCTGAATTCCTTTTGTCTTCTTAACTGCTCCTGAATCAGATGTCACATCTCTGGTCATAGGAGAGCTGGAAGGATGAGTTATGAAAAAAGAAGCCTCTGTTATCATGGACCTTTCTATAAGAAAAAGTGTCAGTCCAGTCTGCTTCTCCTTTGGTTTGTGCTTCTTGGAGGACTTGCAAATCGCACACTTAGCAATGATATATTCCTTACCCAGGCAGTAAAGATATTTGTTGTGGCTGTTAGAAGAAAAATCCCCCCAGAGAAGAGACATGGCTTGAAACCCAGAAATATATGTTCTGCTTTAAACTGTGTGCTTCTCTCTCTCTATTTTTAATCAACTACCGACAAGCTAAAAGAAACAATAACCAGAACACTTACTCCTATTTATTAAAAAAAAAGAATAATCAACAATCAGTTTAATCACTAAGTAACAAGGTTCCTACAGACTAACACTATGTTGTTCCAACTCACTGCCTATGGCAGTTCAAAGGAACTGAATGGTGGTTGGGGTCACTGTGCCCTTTATGACTTCAAATGGTGGAAAGCAGGGGGGACCTGCAGCAGAAGCAGAAGCATGCGCAATCCCTACTAGATACTGCTGGAGTCAACATTCCAAACTGCTGTGCTGGGCACAATGGACACAATAAGTGGGATCCACATGTGCAGTAACTCAAAGAACAATTCAAGTTTTTTCACTAAATGAATTTTTTAAATAAACTTTTTAATTGAAATGAAACCTCCTCTAAGGCATACCTTTTTTGTTAAAGAAAACACATCACTAAAGGTAACTAGACAACAGCATTATCTATGGTATTTTTTTAAAAATCCACCATCTTGTCAAATAATGCAATATTGAGACATGCTCTATGAAATTGTCTTTAAAAATTCATTTTTGAATTATAGAAGAAAAGGTGTCTAACTAGTTCCATTTCTTATTTAACCTCTTAGAACTCATTAACATGTTTCCCTTCCCAGGATGCAAGAATGAGATTGTAAAACGTAGGTAGTAGTCTCAGGAAGGAGAAATTACATATCTAATGTTGTTGTCTAATCTGCAAAAGAATTACAGATTTGGGATTATGCTTGGCTCAAGGGCGGTGAGAACTCAGATAACATTATTTTTACAAGATGCTTAAATCCCACTCTTACCACACACTATCCTTGCTCTACTCTGTCAGTTCCTATTCTGAGCAAAAGGGGGAAAGCATTAAAAACATTTTAAAGCTGTACCCACACCTCTGCACTGAAAGTGCGTGGGAGAGTGTGGATCCATTACACCTTTCATCCTCAGAGAACAAGTTATTAATAGTTGTCTGTTTCCAAAAACAGACTAGTTGCAGTCTTCACTCTTGAGGACAAAAGATTCAGGCATGAGTCTCTAATGTGGTCAAGAATTAGCCAAAGATCAGTTAAATGCAAAGATTCCTCATGATACAGAAGTAACAGAAGTGAACAGTAACAACACTCTTTTGGAAACTCCAAAGCATAGTACATCCAAAATACATATGTTGTATTTAGAGAGAGATCCCATAATTTAAGGTTTATAGGTTGCTGTACATCTGTAACAGAAAGGTCAAACCTGGATTCATGCCCAATGTATGATGGAAGAGTAATGCTTTGAAAAAGTATAGTCAGTCTAACCTTAGAAGTCACGTCTTGTTAAAATTAGTCTCCTGAAGTAACTAGAGATATACAGGGATGGTTCATATAAGCCTGACTCCTGACGGAAAAAAAATACTATTCCAGCTCTTTTAACCCACTTTAGATAAAAGAGCCTTTGCACTACAGTGCACATACACTATCTGTATGTGTTGTGAAAGTCTTTGCATGGATTATCATGAGACATCTGATTCTCCCATGAGAAGGAGGTATGTCATAGTTCATACAAGCTCTGTTGTATCCAACATCTGAAGTTTGATTTTCTTTTAAACTGTTGACTGCCCCTCCTTCCCGAAAAATTCTTTTGACTGGAAGAAAGTTTTCAGGGTGAGGTTTTCTAAACATGACTCAAAGATTCCAATCTTCTCCCAGAGTAAACAAGATACTTTGATTACATGGCTCAGTGACAGACTTGGAAGCTCATTCAAAACTCCATGTTTTGAAGGGGTGGAAGTTTCCTGAACACCACTTGACTGTGGTTAAAATTATACTCTATGCTACAAATAGAAGATCACAATGTAACATGTATATGTTTGCCACTGTCCAGTATCTATTCCTACAGTCTTGTCCCAAAACAGTACTGGAATATTTCCCGTGCAAGCCTCTGTGTAAAAGGAAGTGAGTTTTCTACATGTTTATGAAGCTGTTCGCTCATTTGTGAGTAGGTCAAAGTATCTCAAAATTATGTAAACTACCGTAATATGCAAAGAACAGCTAAAAATCTTGCATTGACTTTATTGTTTACCTTACCAAAAGAGCCACTGGAAAATCTTTAAAATTTTTCCCAATATTCCTGTCTTCAACAAATGCCTCACTTCCATCATCATGAGCTTCAGAAATTTTTTCAGATTGTACTTTTGCTGTACCTACAGAAAAACAAGTTTATTTTATACAATGAAAATAATGAGTAACATAGTGCTTGTAACAAAATTATTTTTAATTAAAGTGCAGTATTACAACAAATGCTCCATTTCCCAAAAAAGGAAACATCATGTAGATTTTGCTACATGATTTTGCTACATGATGCTACAACAATGCAGAATGAAAAGCAGATCTATAATGCATTCCTATGGAAAGTAGAGCTCTGCTGAGAGTATCACTGTAAAAACGTCAACGGCAAGCATGAGAGTTGTTGGTGTTATCAGGCCCATCAAAAGAAATTTCAGACTTATTGAACCCTGTCCTGGCCATTTTACCCCATCCAGATCACCTTTCTGCACCCATACTTATAACTCTCCTCTTCCTTCTCTCCTTTTTTCTGTCATTCCCCACACAGACAGAATGTTTTTTAAAAAATATTTTGGGAAGAGCTTGTCCTCTTTGTTATACTAGCTGTACTAACAGAAAAGGCTTTATAAAGCTCCTGAGATCTATAACCCTGTCCTAGGATACTTGGATCCATGCCGCACTGCTCCACCTATACAGCAAGGCAGGAGGTTGAATCTGAATCAAAGGCTGCAATGCAAGACTAATTGAGTCAGTAGGAGTTGTTGGGTGCTCAGCACTCAAAGTCAGGTCATTTATTTAAACACCTAATATGGACTTGGGAGCCTAATGTGAGACACATTTTCTTTTGAAAACTTTAGCCACCACATCATTGAGCATTGGCCTGCTAAACCCAGGGTTGTGAGTTCAATCCTTGAGGGGACCATTTAACGATCTGGGACAAAAATCTGTCAGGGATGGTACTTGGTCCTACTGTGAAGGCAGGAGACTGGACTCTATGACCTTTCAAGGTCCCTTCCAGTTCTATGAGATAGGTATATCTCCATATAATTACATCCCCTACTTCCCTTGCCCTCAGCCTATTTCAACTAGACCCTCAATCCTCCCCCAGTCCTATTTCCCATTAAACCTTTCAAAAACCCTCCCACAGTCAATTGTCTTCCTCCGGCCCAACAAGCCTTCTAGGATTTCACTGCTTATCTGTTACACAAGGCTTAATTAATACCCTAACTACAAGGCATTATGCCTGTTTTACAAATGGTACACTGAAAGCACAGAGCAATTAAATTATTTGCTCAACATCACACAGTAAGCCAAGTGAATGGAACAGAACCTCAGAGTGCCCATTCCCAGTCCATTGCTCTAGCCACAAGCCCAATCTCCCTCCTAATAGTTGGTTGATTAATAATTAACATTTACCTGGTAAGTGCTTTGGAAAACACGAAAAAGGTATTATCAAAAGCCATGTTCCAAAACAGCACAAGAGAAATGCTATCCACCAAGCCCCAAGCCACCGGGGGTCATCTGGATCAATCTCTGTGCTAGAAAATATATTAATTTGGAAAATGCAGATTTAATAATGACATAAACATCTTACTAGTCACACAGTATATTGCCACAAATTATTATGGCTTTAAAAGCTATGCATTCAGTTTCTCCCATGGCACTAGGAGAAAGCCTCCCAGTACCATCCTTTTTCCTCATTGTTTTTGGGACCTATTAAATTCTATTGTTTTACTTTTTTGTATAATAAAGCACTCAGCACATTATAAATATAATCAAGTCAAAATGGAGACTCTTGAACCAAAATGTACTGGACTGACTAATAAGGGAGCAATGAAAAAACAGATCTTGGTAAAGTGCAATGTCACCACCACATCACTGATCACTAAATATACGTTTAATACTATTCAAAACAATTCTGAATATCTTTACCATCAGTGGATTTTTACACAAGGCAAATGTGAATTAGATACTAGTCTCATCATGTTGAAGTTGCACAACTTAAGTCACAAAAGTCAGGAAAATGCAAAAGCAAACAGTAACTATAACTCAGCCAAATCAGGATTGTAAGAATTGCTATATTGGATTAGTCCAATGATCATCTACTCCTGTATCCTACTGCATTTCAGTAATAGATTCTTCAAAGAAATCCCCCCATAATGGAAAATTATGCAATTACATGCCCATGGGAGAGGTTTCTTCCTAATCCCAAGAAGTTAGTGGTTTATGTCCTAAATCATTGAGGAATGATACCCCATACAGATTTTTTTTAATCTAATGTTACTGTGGAAATCCTGCAACATAATCCCTGAAATGAAAGACGTGAGATCCCACTCCTCATATCACCACTAAAGGAAGTCTCTGGACAGAAAATGTTCATGTGCGGAGAATGCAGGTTTGGGCTTATTTTAAGGTTGATAAACAAAAGAAGTAGTAATCACCATCTCCAAAAGCTGGAACTAAACTCATGCTCCTGATTATCAAGGAGTAACTTTTCTCTATAGAAAAGGTTAGAGTTTAGGTCTCTTTTCTTGGAAGTCATTAGGGAAGACTAGATTGTTGCCTAACAGGTCAGAGGGTTTTTCAAAAAAGTCCACAAGAACAACAATCTTATGTTCTCTGAAGGAAAGAGCTATTATATGGAGCGGAGCTCAGCTATTTCCCCTCTCATGGCAAAATCCATAATCCTCAATGAAGCCATAGGAAGTACCCAAATATTTTAGTAGATTACCATTAGGAACAAGGGATTAATAAAAATAGAACTCTGTTGGCTGAACAGAAGAAATCTAGAACACTGCCTTGCCTTGTTTGAAGAGGGACATCAATATAGATATTAAGCAGCTGCCCTCCCAATACATAGCCAAGGGCAGGACCCAGCAATGACATGGCATAGCCAATTCCTAAAGAGAAAGAAAAAGAAGAAATGTTTTCCATTTCATGTCTCAGCAGGACATACAGTTCTAAAATGTAAGGTTAAAGAAAAAATTAAGCCTGTAGATAACAGTAAAAGTTCATAGACACACAATAAAATACAAAATATAAATTCCATGGCATTTTCAGGGGAGGGAACAATCACAGTTACACTTTCAGTGTAATGATTTATAGAAATCAAAGATCTGTAGAAATCAAAATATACACTTGTCAATTATATTATTAATATCTTTAACATGATCTTTTACAACTCTTATTTATGAGACAAGGTGGGTGAAGTAATAGCTTTTATTGGATCAACTTCTGGATATTTGGGTGGCCCGTTCCATGATGCAATCTATTTCTCTGGTGGAGTGTCCTTGTTTGGTGAAGGCGGTTTTAAGTGTGTTAAGGTGAGTATCCCAGACTTTCTCCTCAGAGCATATGCTGTGCTTTGCTGTAGATAACAGATATTTTTCTGTGTTTGGGGTGGTTATTGGATCGATGAAGGTAGGTGTGGTGACCTGTGGGATTATTGTATATGATAGTCAGTAGGTTCCACTGTTGAAACTGATTGTGGTGTCCAGGAAGTTGATGCTAGTGTGGGAGTGTTCTAGAGAAAGTCTGATGAATGGATGGTGGTAGTTGAAGTTGTGGTGGAAATCTATGGGGGATTTTAAACCGTCTGTCCAGAGGATAAAAATATCATTGATATATCTCAGGTAGATCACTGGTTTCATGGTGCATTTATCCAGAAATTCTTCGTGAAAGTGGTCCATGAAGAGGTTGGTATATTTGGGAGCCATCCTGTACCCATGGCTATTCCCATGGTTTGGGTAAAGTATTTGTTAGTGAATGTAAAATGGTTAGGAGTGAGGATAAAATGGATGAGTTTGGTGATGTGTTTGGGATGATATCTGAGGGCTGTCCATTATCTTGTAAATATTTGAGCCAGACAGCTATGCCATGATTGTGAGACATGTTGGTGTAAAGGGAAGTGGCATCCATGCTGGCAAGGATGGTGTTCTGAGGGAGGCTGTTAATATTGCAGTTTGTGGAGGAAGACAGTTGTGTCCTGGAGGAAACTGGCCCTTGTGTGATGAGTAGTTTGAGAATGGTTTCTAGGAGTCCCAATATTCCTTCAGTAAGAGTGCCACAGCCAGATATGATTGGTCTGCCTGGGTTCCCTTGTTTGTGTATGCTGGGAAGCATGTAGAAGGTCCCTGGGGTGCGTCATGGGAGATGAGTTTGTATAGTTTCTCTTGGAGTTGGTTGGGGAAGGAGTTGATGATATCCTTAAGTTCCTGGGTAAACTGTGGTGTGGGAGTCATCTTTGAGTTCTTTAGAGTAGGTAGTATCGAAGAGTAGTCTTTTAACCTCACTAATGTAGTCATCACTGTTGAGGACTACAATGAGGCCCCCATTGTAACTTACTAACTTTCTCTTTTTGTTCTAGGACTGCAGAGATGTTAATGGGCCATTCTCCTTGAATTGTCCCTTACAATATGAGATAGCTATTTATGCTAAACAATCTGTTTCACCTTGCCTTTTTGCTGTGATGTTTAGGGTACCTTTCCCAGACCTGAAGAATAGCTCTGTGTGGCTTGAAAGCTTGTCTTCCTCACCAACAGAAGTTGATCCAGTAAAAGATATTTCCTCATCCACCTTGTCTCTCTAAAATCCTGGGACTGATACAGCTACAACTACACTATACTGCACACACCTATTATTTAAGGCTTTCTTCTTCCTCAAAATAGTTTCAAATCTGTAAAAGTAGTTTTGCCTTTACACAATGCCAGATTTATATTACTGCATGCATTTTGCCTGCAAAGAGATTTGTGTTATATGGAATAGAAAGCTTGCATCCCTACTGTGTGAAAGAATTGCAGAGCAAATAGCTAAGTGCTTGAATTATATGGCTACTTCTCTCTATGTGTTTCAAAGCACTTGAACCTTGCCATGTTAGGTAGCATGTCTATTATTTTTAGCCTTAAACATAAATGTTTTAAAGTAAAAAAATACCAGTCTGTTTGAGTGCTTAAATTATTAAGAGAACATACATGTAGCCTGGAAATTCTAAATAAAAGCATAATAGAAGTAAAATGAAAATGTACTTTATTTTTTTAAATCTACCATGACCAGAAGTCAGGTGTCTGTGTTAGCAGCTCTGGCAGCAGTAATATCCCTAACACTTGAAGCACAGTAAAGTCTACAGCTCCCTGTTTCCTTTAGGTCTGATTGATTCAAGAGCAATGGCACTGTATGCTTTCAACACATCTTGCTAAATCATTGAAGAGGGAGGAGGCAGAGGCAGGGGTAGCTAGTCTCACTGAAGAGAGCTCTTTTGTCCACCCAGAGAAGCAACACAGACAGTTCTCTTTCCCTGCAAAGCTAGAGAGGAGAAGAACAAGCAGCATGCTTTCTTGATTTTGCCTTAGGGCAGGTCTACACTGTAAAGAGATGCTTTCTAACTCAGGTTAGCTAACCCATATTAGTCAACTTGATTAAAATAGTAGTGAAGACACGACAACTCTTCTTTTAACTTGTATCAGCAGCTCGAGTTCATCCCTATATACTTTAACTTGAGCTGTTATGATGTCTCCAAGTTACTATGTCTTCACTGATATTTTAACCCAAGTTAACTAATCTGAGTTAACACACTTTTTTCTCTACTCAGTATAAGCATACCCTTAGGCTACATCTACACTACAGGGGGGAGTCGATTTAAGATACGCAAATTCAGCTACGTGAATAGCGTAGCTGAATTCGACGTATCGCAGCCGACTTACCCCGCTGTGAGGACGGCGGCAAAATCGACCTCTGTGGCTTCCCATCAACGGCACTTACTCCCACCTCCGCTGGTGGAGTAAGAGCGTCGATTTGGGGATCGATTGTCGCGTCCCAACGGGACGCGATAAATCGATCCCCGGGAGGTCGATCTCTACCCGCCGATTCAGGCGGGTAGTGTAGACCCAGACTTAGTCTTTTTAGGCCTAATAGCCACAATATCAGAGTATCATAGGCACAGATGAGTACAGAGACACACATTAACTTTCAACCAAATATTCGTGGCTGATTACATAGAAAGGATTTTTGCTAAAATTCTTTATAATTTTTTCAATTTTGCTGCATCAGTGAGCTGGCCCAGCTGTGCAACTTCCTTGTAGACTGAAATTTCTGGACTGAATTTGTTAGGGATAGGACTGGGTTTCTTAGCTATTCAACAGTATCTGAGTATCCCCTTAGATAACAAGGGTGAAATATTGGCCCTACTAAAGTTGGCTGCAAAACTTCCATTGACTTCAGTTGGGCCAGGATTTCTCCCCAAGTTGGTAGGTCACTTAGATCCAGGAGACTTAGGATAAGATTTTAAGGACCTATGATCATGAATGGGAACTCATTCTAAACTCTGAGCATGTGGAGTGGGGAGTTTTACCTGCCTAATAACTGCTGGACTACATCCTAAAATATCAGCAGAAATCAAGTTACTTTACTTTTCATACCAGATAGAACTTTGGTTTTGCTGTTTTGGAATGCACTTAAATGTGCAAATGGAAAAGAAAGAATGTAACTTAACTCTTAATATAAATTTGGTAAATACCTAAAAAATCATGCTTGAGTGCCTTTTTGTGCCTAACAAAGATTTAACTAAAAACAGATGCCTTAATTCAAAATCAAACACAATACATAATAAAACATACACTAAATCGGTCAGGAAAAGCAAAAATATCCTGTAGGCATCCTGTAATAAATTAATGCATCCCTGTGTACAGTAATAAATTATCAGCTCAAACATGGAACGATTAACCTAGTTACTTAGCCATTTGTTATATTTCTCTTCTAGTTTTGTTGTGTTATTAAAATAGACTGCTTTTTAAGCTGACACTACTTTTTTCTTCTACAAGTTCACATGTTAATCTGAAGTCTAGACACGTGTCACCAACTCTTCACACACACTGTTGGCACTTTAGATTTGGTTTTAAAGCTAGCGATGAGATTTAACAAGCAGGTACGTTTTGTTTTGATTTCAAAATAAACTACTCTGGAATATTTTTGCCACACTTTCCTGCCCTACAGAGACTTGTTAAATATTCTAGTGTGGGTCTCATTTTTTCCCCCTTAATCACATGAGCAGCCCAATAGACTTTAACAGGTCTGACAAAAAATAAAGAGACCAGATTAGAATACTCAGAACCACTCTTTAGAATAATTATGTAATCATAAACAATTTTGAACAACTTTCACTTTAAAGTTCAAGGTACAGTACAAGTTTAATTGACTGACTGATTAGTTTTGAGGAAATCTTGCAAAGACTTGCCTAGAGCCAGTGGAATAGGGGTTATAGATTTAAGTATTCTGGATGGAAGTTTGGAGACAGAACTGAAACCTTAATTATATCTAACTATAGAGTTAGTTACATGAACTGTCTTGTAGCAGATTAAGAGAACCTTGGGCAATTTTTCAACACAATTAATGTACTCCTTTTTTAACCTGAGGAAAGAAGTGACTGCTGAATGCACAAGTAAAATATGGTGAATGAAGAAATTCTTTGGGAAAGTGTGCAGGAAGGCTTGAACCAGTGTGAAGTAAAGAGGGAAAAATATGTGAGTTGCCTTGTCATAGAGTACAGTCTGGAGCAGAGGTAGTCTCTTGATTCAAAGGGTGCATTACACTAAGCTGCTGAGGAGGCACCAACCACCCACAGAAGCACCCCTCATCCTGGCACCACAACCCTAATCCCATCATGATGAAGAGGAAAAATGAGGGGCCTGGAGGTGAGCCTACCATGCATTCACCCTGCAGCAGCAGCTCCTGTTCCACAGGGCTGGTCCCAGCTCCCTGCTCTGGGCATTGCAACCCTGCATATGGGGTCATAGCACCACTCAGGTTTGCTCCAACCACCCCTCCAGCATGACGGAATTGTGGCTGGGCCAAATTTGAGCAAGTGGTATTACGGCCTTGTGTACAGGTCGTAGCACCACTCAGGTTTGTCCTGGCCATTCCTCGATCATAACGGGGGGAAGTCAGGCTAATCCTGAGTGGTGCTACAACTCAGTGCACCAAGTCACAGCACCCAGAGAAGGGAGCTAGGCCCAGCCCCATGGAACAGGAGCCACTGCAGGGTGAATGCAGGGCAGTCTCGCTCTCCAGTCTCCTTCCCTATCCTGGGCTTCACCTCCAGACTGGGCTGGGAAAAATGTATGTTTGCTCCCTTGGTTTCATGATTTCTGTGGGTGCAGCTGAAACCACGAACCCATGCTAAAGCTGCCCTTGATCTGGAGAAAGACTAAAAACAGTAAAACCAGTAGCTGCATAAGAAATGCTATACAGAACACTAGACATGAGATAGTTTTAAGGGAGGATGGTGAATACTGAAAGTGTGCGTAAACCATCTCTTTGTTCTATGCCTGAAGTAAAGGCCTGCTCTGCCATAATCCCCACATAGAACCTTCACCTGAATACACAATTGTAGAATGTGTTATGTTCATGTGAAGCACTTCTTCTCACACTGACCAAATACTCACAAGGGAACATGATACAGCCATTAAATGATACGGTAGGATGGGGCTGCTGAATTGACAGTTTTAGCTCCTGACTCTTTTAATTTGAGAGCAGATGCCAACTTTAGCTACAGATTGTATTAAACTGCTTAAGTTTAAACTATGTTAAAACCTCAGTTTCTCATCTCATCAAGTTGGTTACATATGAAAATAAGAGGCTGGGTGAAGTGTTCAAGATACTGTGGGGTTCATCCTGACCCACCCTATTAAACAAATAAAATAGCCAGTCAGCAAATTTCCAACCTGCCGAGACAATAAGCATAGCCTTGTCTGTTTCCAAAACATCTACATGCCAACCATTACAGCAATCACTGCAGAAACAATTTCTATATAAAAAAGTTGTCAGCAAGCAAATCTGTTACTTCAGCTCCTTAATGAGAAGTGTTGTGTTTACAACATTTATGATCACTTTCTACTAGCAGATTTTTTTAATTACAATATTTATAAAGTGTTCATTCAGCAATCATTTGCTACCAATTTAATTTTTAAAACAATATTACCTATGTAGAGAGAAGATTTGTGTTTTGGGACACTATCATCAATGAAGGCTGTGCCCAAAGTGTACAGGGGAGTTCCTCCGACTCCCAGTAGCAGCTGCGCCAGGATGAAGACATAGAGGTAGTTGGAGAGTGAAGACTCTTTGCTGGTATTGCACGTGAAGTTAGCATTGCTAGTTCCTGATACTTGACAGGTATCTAAAAAACACATTTATAGAGACATTAATAAAGTACAGTTGACTGATTCATCATATAGTTTGTGCTTATAAACGTAAGGAAGCACCATGTAATGTGCTGTAGTTAATAGCACAGGATTGCTCAACTCCTAGTCTTCTAATCCCAGCTCTCTTACAGATTTCTTGTGAGACATCAGACATGTCACTGAGCATCTCTGTGCCACAATATTCCATATGAAAAATGAGGCTATTTCTCTACTAGAAAAATGTATAGTTTAAAACAGAGATTATTGTTTATTAATCAGTGCTCCAGCTGATATGGAGCAATACTGATAGGTACTAAGACACCCTCTAGCCCTCCACTGCTTAACTAAAAGTCTTAGAGATTGAGGGTAGAGGATATAAGAAAAATCTGTTTTAAAAGATTCAACCACCCACTCTTCCTCCCCTGAATAGGGCAGGGAGAAGAATTAGGTTTGTAAGAAAGTGTTCCTATTTAATAGGTTACGCCCTAGCAATCTCCCCATGACAACAAATGTCATTGATTTAACTCCTAGAATTAGGAAACTACATTACTGGGATTTCTCTTACACATGCACACAGGGCAGAAGGAGGAATTGTGTTAATGCACAACTTTTTTCAGGTACCTAAAAGTTAGTTATATGTAATAGTTAGCTTTTCCTTGCTTAAATGCATTCTCTCCCCTTTTCCTTCCCTCTGGAGTATTACTGCTTTTCCACAGACATCGAACAGCCTTAATCTTATTTGACAGAATAGAACAAAAGTATGTGCAGCATTCTTTGCAAATGTCTGTATATACACATGTGCAATCCTGAAGAGGAAAAATCCCACTCATTTGACAGAATTGCTGTACTGGGTAATTCTCAGCTATTGTAAAAAATACTTACTTTACTTACAGTAAAGAGAAAGTGATATAAGTAGGTTATGTTTATCCACAGAATACAGAACAAACTTTCAGAATCATCCCTCCAGAAGCATGACTAAATACCAATTTCTACAGTGGAGTTTTATGAATTAAGCCCAAGGGTACTTTTTGACCCTACCAGTGCTAGCAAAGGAGCAATGTAGCTGGCACAGTATTTCTCTAACAAGCAAGCCATACATTCAGCATCAGAAGAGAAGAGAATTTATCTAGTGATCATTCAGAACCTAACATGAATTCTTGAAGAGTTAGGCAGAAAAAGCTACTGCAATGAAGTCTGTCATGTTTTCCATTACAAACTCCTTTCTTCAAAAAAAAAAAAAGGAGTTTAAGATGCCATATAAATTCATTTTAGATTGAAACTTCATACACTAGTCTGGTCAATGAGCAGTATTTTCCTACTAAATTGTCCATTAAGTCAGGTGAAGCAATTTTTCAGTTTTTAAAGAATTTGTTGACAAGAAAAAAAACCTACACAGACTTTGTGCCCGATGCTCTTTTCAATTTACACTGTAGGAGAGGGGCAGGAGCTCTTGGGGCATGGCAGGTTTCTGAGCAGAAACCCATGCAGAAGTTAACATTAATAAAAATGGCATGGGTATTACCATCCCTGTCTCCTTAGGATAGAAGTAAGGTAGCTGTAGAGGCATGGTGGAAGGATGTAGAGTACTCAATGGCAGTAAGGCTCTTAAGGAAGCTGCCATAGGGGGACGGTCCCTCAAAGCATGCTGTAGAAAGGAAGGCAACCTCAGGGGCAGCTGGGAATAACTGGCTCTTCCCTCTTTGAAGTGGCAAATCCTTGCGCTTGGAGGAAATAATTCAGCACTAATTCCTCTAATGGCTTGTCTACATGGACCAGGAGATCGATGCGTGGCAATCAATGCATCGGCAGTCAATTTAGCGGGTCTAGTAAAGACCCGCTAAATCGACTGCAGATTGCTCTCCCATTGATTCCTGTGCTCCACCTGAATGGGGAGTCAACAGGATAGGATCTCCCGTCGACGTAGCATAGTGTGGACCCCGTGGTAAATAGATCTAAGTACGTTGACTTCAGCTACATTATTCACAAAGCTGAAGTTGCATAACTTAGATTGATCTCCCCCCGTAGTGTAGACCAGGCCTCAGTGAGCATCCATATTTTAGCAAAAAGAACAGGAGTACTTGTGGCACCTTAGAGACTAACAAATGTATTTGAGCACAAGCTTTCGTGGGCTAAAACCCACTTTATCGGATGCATGCTCAATGGTTTGAGCATTGACCTGCTAAACCCAGGGTTGTGAGTTCAGTCCTTGACGGGGCCATTTAGGGATCTGGGGCAAAAATCTGTCTGGGGTTGGTCCTGCTTTGAGCAGGGGGTTGGATTAGATGACCTCCTGAGATCCCTTCCAACCCTGATATTCTATGATTCTATGAAAATACAGTAGGAAGATATATATATACACAGAGAACATGAAACAATGGGTGTTACCATACACACTATAATGAGAGTGATGTGTCAAGGTGAGCTATTACCAACAGGAGAGAAAAAAAACTTTTTGTAGTGGCAATCAAAATGGCACATTTCCAGTAGTTGACAAGAAGGTGTGAAGAGCAGTAGGGGGGAAAAATAAACACGGGGAAATAGTTTTACTTTGTGTAATGACCCATCCACTTCCAGTCTTTATTCAAGCCTAATTTAATGGTGTCCAGTTTGCAAATTAATTCCAGTTCAGCAGTCTCTCGTTGGAGTCTGTTTTTGAAGTTTTTTTTGTAATATTGTGACTTTTAGGTCTGTAATCGAGTGACCAGGGAGATTGAAGTGTTCTCCAACTGGTTTTTGAATGTTATAATTCTTGACATCTGATTTGTGTCCATTTATTCTTTTACGTAGAGACGGTTTGGCCAAAAACATACTCCAACGAGAGACTGATGAATTGGAATTAATTTGCAAACTGGACACCATTAAATTAGGCTTGAATAAAGACTGGAAGTGGATGGGTCATTACACAAAGTAAAACTATTTCCCCATGTTTATTCCCCACACACACACACACACACACACACACAC